CTGTAGATTTATGAAGACGTTGGCATAATGTTGAGGTTGTTATAATTCGTGATGAAGCGTTGGCAGAATATTACACCTTCCTCCATAGAGGCAGTGGATCAGGACATGAGTGATTGTCCACTTATAACATTTCTAAACTTAACAGTTTGAGAGAGTTTCGCCATAATTCACCATCACATCCATTTAGTCACTTTCCCACATTTCTCCCTCAGATTCCTCCAACAGCAGACCTCCTCAAAAGAAGGGTGTCCATGTTTTATACAGCATTATTCAAGCTGTTGAAATGTATTCCTTCAGGGCCTTCAACTCTCCGACATTAAAGGATATGCGAAAGATTACAACATAAGCTCTCAATAAATCACCCACACTGGCTCGCTTTCAAAAGTCACAAATTAGAGACGGGGAGTCGGGGAGGGGAGCACGTCGGCCACCCAGAGAAGCCTGCAGGAAACCGGGGAGTAATTTGGTGTTTAAACTGTCAGATTAGTAAAGTTGGGCTCTATCCAACATGTCGAAGATATTGGTGGATCTATATAGGAAGTACCATGACAGCCTAATTTGCTTTTGTTTCCCTCGGCTGTTGAAAAAGTTTTGCACTGACTTTGCTGCTCTCTGCTCTCACTGACTATAAAAGTCACATGAATCACTTTGCGCTCCAACCTCAAGGTCAGGTTGTGACTGTCCCAAGTGATTCAATCATTACAATGAAGTCAAGCTGTGTGTGGCTTCATCCTCTATTCCCCTCACATTCAATGGACTTGAGTGAAACCAAACCAAAGTAACCCAAAGTAAAATATCCTCTTGACTGGTAGATGTTAAGAACCAATGCTCCTGGGTGGCCACTGGTTCCCAGTAAGTTAGAGAACCAGTACAGATGGATGGTATGGGCAGGGAACGTTCACCGCCCTAACCTCTGAACCCACAAGCGGAAGTGGAGGCATGCGTACAGTAACAGTGGTTGGCTGTTTCCTACCAGCGCCTGGACATCCATACAGTTTTAACTAGTCTTAAAACGGTGTTTAATTCAACACAGAGATTATTTTAACAAGCCAGGACCGAATCGCTTAGGCTCCCCTCGTAAAAGTTGGGAGCTACGTCCCCTCTCTCCCCGCCAGCACCCCTCCCTACCCCCTCCAGGGTTAAGTAACTGTTTAGTGATCTTAACGATCTGAGAGGGGGAAACAATGCAGGCCGAGGTGTGACTGCTTGTTAGCGCTAGGCTAGCCGCCGTCAAGGCTCCGTCTCCTCTGTCTCAGGGGCCCAGCAGGTCTCCTGGCTGTCTCACACCCCTCCAGTCAGGGGGGCCCAAGCGGGTCTCCTGGCTGTCTCACACCCCTCCAGTCAGGGGGGCCCAGCAGGTCTCCTGGCTGTCTCACACCCCCTCCAGTCAGGGGGGCCCAGCAGGTCTCCTGGCTGTCTCACACCCCTCCAGTCAGGGGGGCCCAGCGGGTCTCCTGGCTGTCTCACACCCCTCCAGTCCAGGGGGGCCCAGCGGGTCTCCTGGCTGTCTCACACCCCTCCAGTCCAGGGGGCCCGCAGTCTCCTGGCTGTCTCACACCCCTCCAGTCAGGGGGATCCGGCGAGTCTCCTGGCTGTCTCACACCCCTCCAGTCAGGGGGGTCCGGCGGGTCTCCTGGCTGTCTCACACCCCTCCAGTCAGGGGGGTCCGGCGGGTCTCCTGGCTGTCTCACACCCCTCCAGTCAGGGGGGCCCAGCGGGTCTCCTGGCTGTCTCACACCCCTCCAGTCAGGGGGGCCCAGAAGGTCTCCTGGCTGTCTCACACCCCTCTAGTCAGGGGTGCCAAGCGGGTCTCCTGGCTGTCTCACATCCCTCCAGTCAGCAGGCCCTGGGGGGCGAGTGTGGACCCAGATGGGCCATAATGGATATCGGGGGCCCTAACAGGCCAACAGAGTATCCTGAGGGGAATTCAGTTCACTTCCCTCTGTACTTAGACCTGTTAATGAGAGTCAGGAGACACAGACCCCCTCTCTATCCACAGGCTAACACCTCACTGAGCTACAGTAGACCCAGCTCTGACTAGACCCAGCTCTGACTGGGGTTTCCGGCTCAGTCATGTGCCCCTCTTTTGATCGCTGGTGTAGGGCCAATATGGTTCTCTCTTCTCAATACCCTGAGTGTATGAGAAAGGCTGAGTGTAACCCAGAGCCATGTATTTAAAGAGTTAGGACATTGAGGTTTCTGCATTATGAAACATTTCCATGACACTTCAACATTCTACGCTGAGTGTACAAAACATTAAGAACACCTGCTCTTTTCATGACCAGGTGAATCCAGGTGAAAGCTATGATCCCTTATTGATGTCACTTGTTAAATCCACTTCAATCAGTGCAGATGAAGGGGAGGAGACAGGTTAAAGAAGGATTTTTAAGCCTTGAGACAATTGAGACATGGATTGTGTATGTGTGCCATTCAGAGGGTGAATGGGCAGACAAAATATTTAAGTTCCTTTTAACAGATTATGGTAGTAAGTGCCAGGAACACCGATTTTAGTCAAAAACGGCAACGCTGCTGGGTTTCTCACGCTCAACAGTTTCCCGTGTGTATCAAGAATGGTCCACCACCCAAAGGACATCCAGCCAACTTGACACAACTTTGGGAAGGATTGGAGTCAACATGGGCCAGCATCCCTGTGGAACGTTTTCGACACCTTGTAGTGTCCATGCCCCGACTAATTGAGGCTGTTCTGAGGGCAAAAGGTGTTTCTAATGTTTGGTAGACTCAGTGTATGGCAGTCATGCTAACACTCCATTAACATTACATGGGGAATATTTAAACAATTCTATGTAACTGAATGTCTAGAATTAGAACAATATTCAAATGTTCCAAGTTGACCCAACTCTCTAAATACAGCACATGGCTCTGGTGTAGTCTATATGGAGACTATGTCACCAGAGTCACAGACCTATAGAATCCATGATTTAACCCATCAAAGACCCCTGTTTTGAGTGATGAAAGAGCCAAGGTTGTATTCTTAACATTCCTATGACCCGTATGTGTTTTATGCTGTCCCTTTGTTATCTGATACTGTAAGACCGTCTCTCCTTTCAGGGCAGAGGACGTTTGTTTACTTGGTGACATAGTTTATTTGATTCGGTGAGGCTCAGTGCTGCTGACCATGATTACCATTCACAGTTTCAGGTTTCCATGCTTGATTATCCAAGGTCAAGTTCAATCGCCCTCCAAGTTCTCTAAACAGTGTGTGTATATATATGTGTGTGTGTGTGTGTGTGTATTACTGTTATAACGCCCTTCTTTTAATCTTCTTAAGTGAATAGTGAGCAGAGCTCACCTCTCAAACCAGGCTTTTGATGTTTGAACGGTTTGAATATACATTTTGACAGTTGGCTAAATGACAGAATCTTATGTGTCACAGTTGCACTGAAGTAGCTGCCTCATCTGCCTTGACTAGACTTGAGGTAAACAACACTCCACTAACTGTGTGTTGTGGGGTTATGAACATGTGTTACACTCCTATCATATTATGATATCAGTCCTTAGGAATGACTGATGCTGGGTAAATACGGGTAAATACAGAGTAAGGGACAGGTTCAAAGACTCATGTATCCTGGAGATTGCTCCCTCCCTCCCTCCCTCCCTCCCTCCCTCCCTCCCTCCCTCCCTCCCTCCCTCCCTCCCTCCCCCTCCCTCCCTCCCTCCCTCCCTCCCTCCCTCCCTCCCTTTACTTTCAAAGCCCAGGCCATTTATACCAGCATAAGAGCAGCATGAGACAGGACTGGGGAGCCGGGGGGCTTCCCTCATCGCTCCGCGTCTGTCTCCCTCTTTATGGTCTAGCCTGCATGCCCAGAGAGGTACACAGCCCACTTCCTCTAACAGGGATAGCCTCTTGCTTTCATGTGAGATGGGGCGTCTAGGGAATATAGGGGAGTGGGAGTGGCGGCGACCAATAAAGTGAGCTAGTGGAGTCGTGATCAAATGAGACGCATCCAAACGAAACCGCCGCCTCCCCTCAGAGGACCGTGGCGTGAATGAGGTGTTTTGAAACACGGCAAGATAAAGTGAGATTATCGGCCAAGATTATTCCACCAGGTTTTGTATCATTGGGTTTCAAAGGGCTCCTGTGAAAGGATGGAGGCTTGATGGAAGAGGTGAGGGGAGGAAGGGGAGGATAGTGAGGGGAGGGAGGGAAAGGAGGAGGCCCTTCCTACAGCTCCACTGTAATCAATCAATCAATCACATTTTATTTATAAAGCACTTTTTACATCAGTAGATGTCACAAAGTGCTTATACAGAAACCCAGCCTAAAACCCCAAACAGCAAGCAATGCAGATGTAGAAGCACGGTGGCTAGGAAAAACTCCATAGAAAGGCAGAAACCTAGGAAGAAACCTAGAGAGGAACCAGGCTCTGAGGGGTGGCCAGTCCCCTTCTGGCTGTGCCGGGTGGAGATTATAACAGTACATGGCCATTAAGGCCAGATTTTTCTCCAAGATGTTCAAATCAATCCTAGACTGCTTAGCCAGGAACCACCTGATAAAAATATGAGAGACAGTATAGGGTACTGTAGGGCCAAGATATTTGTCTTCATATTTCAAGATAACAGGCTATTTTCCAACATCAAAAAACTAGCTACACTCTTAACCTGTGGTGCTTTGTTGATCTCAATGGTCAATGCTTCAGAGCATTGTGCGGTTAACCAAGTCTGTTTTCTACTTCTCTTAGGGTTAGTTAATTGTCCATGGGCAGCCTTAGCAGAGTTGCCAACAACCGGATGCATCCAGTTTTCAGGGATACAGCTAATTCAACCTAGCTTCCTTTTCCGCTGGAGAACTCCGCTCAGGCGTTTTCTTTTATGCTTGCTACATTAGGTTATGGGCAGCCACAGGCCTAAATTGATACCACTGAACTTGAGAACATGAACATGAACTGAAACGCTTGGCTATGACGATGTCACGGTGGACATAGACTAGCATGTCAAATACTGTGTTAGTGCTACATTACATTCGCCTTGCTTCACTGCAGGTGATTACGAAACTGGGCACAATACCAGTTCAGAAACATGAAGCTAAGGTCAGCCTTTTATGTTTGGAAGGTCTTGCTTTTCCAAGACTTATCAAGACATTTCCAAGTACGTATTATTGCTTAATAACAGCAGTTCCAAGAACGTATTATTGCTTAATGGTTATTAAGCAATAATACATTCTTGGGAATGTCTTGATATTCTTGGAAAAGCAAGTCGTTCCAAACAGAAAAGGTTGACCTTAGCTTCAATAACAACTGTGGCACCATTTAGGATATCACTGTGCTGCAAGTGATTATTGTTCTATTTTCTCTTATTTCCGTTGTATTGCTGGACGGACGTTTATTCGGTTCTCCATGTGTTTTCAATGTGACAAACTCCACATTGCTCACACAAGCTCCAAATACCTCTCAGCCCGTTCAGTTTCTTTAAGCACATGGATATAAACTAACATCTGATCTGAAGATATTGAAATATTCGTTTTTTTTGAGAGCCCGCTCGAATATGTGGTGTACATTTTGATTTAAAAACAAGTTCTGTTATGGTGACGTAACCCTTCGGAATCCTAATCCTCCGACGTAGCACGTTCATTATTGTGACTGTAATGATTTTATTTGCATCATGTTCTGTTCTAGTATTCCCATGTTTATTATCCAACGCTCTGCAATGGTGGTCAGTTCTGACGCAGGTCTGTCAGTACAGCACCAGCCCGATGTAGAGCAGTCCAAACACGTTGCTATTACGTCAATCTAACATTGGACGGAGAAAACCTAAATAGGCTGTTTGTGGCTATGTCTGTTGTCATTGTTGTGCATTTTTGGGGTTGGTATTGTGTAGCTCATACAAAGTGGACACTAATGCATGTTGTCTAGTGGCTGGTGTTGAAGTGGCCAGACCGCCGCGAAAGACTGAAACAGCCTCATCGACCGACTCTGGACCTTCTCCAAGGATGAGTTACCTGTATACAGTACAGTGTCCCCTCTCACTCTACATGTTCAAAACACTCTCACAACACTATTTCATCTGACTCATGATATTATTTAATTTGAACTCGTTTGCCCTCCCAATAAGCAACGTCTATACCATGGTTGTGTGTATTGCTGCATGCACTTGTTGTGGAAAAAGGAAGCTGGGCCCTTTCATTATGGCTGTCGTGTGGACTGTGGACACACTGCGGTTCTACCTCGGTCATCTCGGTTCACCTAAATCAATGTGTTCAGCAGACCCGGTTGGTGGCTGAGGACTGAAGGAATCCACATTGAATTGTTATCATGTTGCCATAGCTTCACCAGACTATGGCCTATGTCTCAGGCTCTGTCTGAAATGGCATCCTATTGCCTAAATAGTACACTTATGAGATGGAAAAAGAAGAAAAGAACCTTGGATGCCAAATACTTGCCTTTCAAATCCCCAGGTACCCAATTAGAAAACAGTTGGTCACAAAACGAACTAACTCCATAGCCAGGGGGTTCTGTTATCCAATGACTGCTTCATTGATCTATTTAGGCTTCTAAAAGCACTCTCGATATAGAGTGAACCTTGACTTGTGTTTTTCTTGGTTGGGGATGTGGTAATGGCTCCATTGTTTGGAATATCTGAACATATTCCTGGCCGTAGGTTGGCACGTAGAAGCTGAGATAGAGGAAGCATTTGTCCCCCTTCTCTCTCTCTCTAGTCCATGGCCTGTTTTCCAGCGTTGGAAAAAGGTCTGGTTCTTCAGAAGGAATTCAGACAGAACATACTCTGCTAATCTGCTTACTGTCTTGAGCAATTTCAGTTGGACTTTTTAAAGCCGTCACATAAAAATACCATGGGAGACAGGGAAATTAGTGACGGTTAGGAGAAGTAGTGGAGTCTAGGAGTTGGATTTATATGACTGTAAGTGGAACCAAAAACGTTTTCCGTCATGTCTGGTAACCATTACCGACAAGACATTATGTTTTTTATGATGCAATTATAAAAAAACGGCAAAGTTATGGGTGACAGGTTTGTCGCTAGTTAGCCTGCGTTGAACCTCAGTGTCACTGTTCCCAAACTACTGACTGTATGTAACCGTATTAACGACCTTAGTCCAACACCTAGCGACCTCGTCCAGAGGTTTCAGACCGCTAAGATGTTTGGCTAACAGTCACAAAAACCCCAATATTATGAGTTGATTGATTATTATTAGGAGCCCAGCCCATATGGGTTAACAAGACCCTAATTGATACATACATGTGATCATTATTCATGATTCTGAATGTGTCTGTTTTGACCTCTACAGGTGTACCCATGCAGCAACGATAAGGAGTGCACTGTAGGAAGCTACTGCCACAGCCCTCAGCAAGCACCCTCCCGCTGTCTCACCTGCCGACGGAGGAAGAAGCGTTGCCATAGAGACGCCATGTGCTGCCCCGGCAACCGCTGCAGCAACTGTACGTTGTCTTGACTGACCCCTCTTATCTCTCATAAGTCAGCATATCTTAAGTCGGTGTGAAGTGAACGCATATCAGGCACAACACATTGTTTTTTAAGGGTTCGATTTAGCACACTACGTCTCTGTCATCTATGTAGCACAGAGGAAAGTTCAATGAGGGAGCAATTACATTCAAACCATATTGAACACATGCTTTCTACCCATAGGTCAGCACTGAATGCTCCTCTCTCTGCTCTGTGTTGTCTGAGAGATGAACTGCAATAGACATTAATGATAACCGCATGTGCTAGTCACAGGGAAGCTGTAATGGCAATATGATCTCTAATAACACAAGTTAAACATCTTGGTTTGTGTCCTAATGCCAACTATGGAAGACGGCATATGACACTGGATCTTTCAAACCCTGTCTTGTCTTTAGCTGCAATGATATCAATCAAGCCTTATTATATGGTGGTTGTGCTCACATCTAACTTCTCTCTCTCCGCTGGCCGTATCAATGTAGATATCTGCGTCCCTATCTCGGAGAGCGTCCTCTCACCTCACATCTCAGCCTTGGATGACCACAACAAGCTCTCCACCAAGGATAGCGCCGCCGACTGGAAGAAGAGTGGGAAAGCAGCGCAGGCCAAACACTCTGTTAAAGGTACAGATTTAGATCTGATTTCACCTCCGTGTTATACACCTGTAAAACAGGCCAGGGTTTAAATAGTATTTGAAATCTGCTTAAAATGCTTTGAGCGTTCGATTGAGATTGCCTGGAGAGCCTGGAGAGATGGGTGGGGTTTTGTACTTTTGGAACTACTCCATTGGTTCCATTGCACCAGGCAAGCTCAGACAAGCACAGCTATTGTATTTGAAAGATATTTGATACTACTTGAACCCAGGTCTGAAGACCGCCTCTCGGCCTGGCCTGGGAGAAGATATACAGTCATATGTAAATATGAAGGGATCTCTGTTGTCTTTTCCTATTTTGAAATCTCAATATCTCACGCTGATCCTGGTCCAAGGCGCCACATCTCTGTTGTCCCTGTTCTCTGTTACTTGTCTGTAGTCACACGGAGTTAAAGAGACGCCAGTCCGCAAACGACCGCGATAATTACCCGCTAGCTCGTATATCAGCAGCAAACCTGGGAGACCACGGCTCAGCATGGGGGCCTGGCTGAGAGAAACCAAACCACAGTGGCCCCTTGCTGTTCCCCGCAGCACCTACATAAACCAGGCACACAAACACTCTCGCTGACAGCACCACGCTGTCTCATATACATTCATGAAACCACAGAATGTAGAGTTGGCGAGGTTCGTAGTAGTAATAATAACTGGAGTTATTATTGAGTCCCCTTTTGGCATTCGTTTTAGCCTGACTCAACAAGTGAATAGGCCTACACTTTGTGTAAGCAGTGTTGTTGTCAATAAAGTTCTACCTCTAATGAGACACCTTAATGGCGGTGCAATGATTGCCCTCTGGAGAAATGTTAGCCGCAATGCTAAAGAGCCAGTATAAAAAGGGTGCAGTATTTGAGGTCGTTTTGAGGAAACGCTAGGCCTATTCACTTTTTAATTTGCGTCTTACTCTCGTCTCACTTCGCCTCTACAACTCAATTGCAGTGACTTTTTGCAGTGTCCCTAAAATGTTCATTTGGAGGGAGAGGCGAGAGAGCAACACAACATATTAAACATTCCATTAAGGCTGAGCACTGAGTGGGAACTTCATGCTGTTGATTGGAACTTCATTTCGTAACAAGCCCCTTACAAGAAACGGAGGTTTTGTCAGTGTTACAGGACGGCTGGTGTGTGTGTCGAGAAAGGCCCTCTGGCAAAGGGGGTTGTTTCACAGAAAACTTGCATGACTAAATAATGTATCATAAATATTTGTTGTACTAATTACATCCTTTGAAAGAGGTAATATAAACCTCCTGCCAAGAATATCAAGTTCTACCCGAAATGGGTTGATTTAGTTGATAAATCAGGAAAGAGGTTCACTCTAATTTTACAAGGGTCTAAGTACATTCCAGTCCACTAATATAATAGCCCTGTAATGCAATTTGAATTGAGATGAGAAGAAAGCTAGGGGTATGTTTCAGCTCTTTCCTATGGAAGTCAAAACAAGGATAATGGGTAATGATTGTGCATTTCCTATAGCTTAGTAGTTGGGGGGTTTTTCCTGTAGAGTGTAATGTACATTTCACATGTAAAAGCATGATTACTCTCTACATATTGATGGGTTTAGGGTTTATGGGGCACAGGACCGAGGTTGGAAAACCCTGCTCCAAACCACACAGACATTCAATTTTTTGCATTCCATAGTCTAGAACAGGGATGGGCAACTTTGATGGGGGTGGGGGCCGCAGTTGCTCCACCCATCAATGGGGGCCCCCTGGGCTCTAATTCAACCTTGATAGATAGCTGGCCGCTGAGTCCGAGGGCCTTCCCCGCAGACCGCCAGTTGCCTAAATAAGGAATGATAATGGTATTCTATACTAGTACATGCAGTAAAAGGTTAGAGTATATATACATACTGAAAAGTACTGGAAAGTACTGAAAAGTAAGAAAAGGCCTATGTTTTGCATGTGCACCCTGCATCTTCACTCATACTAGTCCATGCTAACACTCCTGTCTCTCCCTCCCTTGACCAGGACACGAGGGCGACCCATGCCTGCGCTCGTCGGACTGCTCCGAGGGCTACTGCTGCGCCCGCCACTTCTGGACCAAGATCTGCAAGCCGGTGCTGCGGCAGGGCGAGGTGTGCACCAAGCAGAGGAAGAAAGGCTCCCACGGCCTGGAGATCTTCCAACGCTGCGACTGTGCCAAGGGCCTCTCCTGCAAGGTCTGGAAGGACGCCACCTCCTCCTCCAAGTCCAGGCTTCACATGTGCCAGAGGATCTGAGGGGTGAGGCAGGGATGTCCTCCGACACCTTTCTCTTTGTCTTTCTCCGCCTGCTTTCAGGGGAGGAGAACCAGGAGATGACATGAGATGGGATGGCGTGAGAGAGAGAGACTGGGAAAGAGAGACTAAGAGAGAGAATGGAAGATGCTAAGAGCTGGTGGATACCCAGCAAACTAAAGCAAAGAAGAAGGTTCTTCTGAGAACGTACGGCACCGTTCCACGTATGATTCTTCCTGTTTGGTTGTGTTCCGGCTCAGAACATTCCCACAACGTTCTGAGAATGTTGCATTCATCGTTAAGTTGTTCAGCGGGTTCTCGAGGACATTGTGCAAAATAACTTCTTTATGTCGAAGACACTTAACAATGTTGGATGTGGTTTATGTTCAAGTTCCTTAAAATGTTGCATATATTTTCAGACAATGAAAAGAAAAGCCATCTCTTTATTACAGCCGTCATTAACCAACGGCATAGAAACCTTCTCCTCTTCCTATCTATCATTATGAAGGCAAGACTGCTGTGATGCACCCTTTGTTTACCAGCTATGTTCGTTTTTGGCACATATTTCACATATTATATTTTCACACTAAGGGAATGACAGAACCCCAGCTAACCGATACAAGCTCTATTGTAATCTCACTATTCTGATGGTGTTTGTAGCGTTCACTCCAATAGTGTAACCAATGTGGGAATCTCCAAACGAATAGTCGCCTACAACAACAATAACTCTCAAACCAACATGTAGGCTCAACCATGCTAGTAAAGAACAAAACGCATATAGTTTTTGTATAGATTATGAACATAGATATACAGTTAACTGCCAAAATAAAGGAAAGGCCAATAGGGTGTTGGGCCACCATGAGCCAGAACAGCTTCAGTGCACCTTGGCATAGATTTTACAATGTCTGGAACTGCGACACCATTCTTCCATGAAACATTCCAGCATTTGGTGTTTTGTTGATGGTTGTGGAAAATGCTGTCTCAGGCGCCGCTCTAGAATCACCCATAAGTGTTCACTTGGGTTGAGATCTAGCCTGGATTCTAGAATTTTGCCTGGATTCTATCCAAATATATTAAAACGAAACATGTTTGGATTCCAGGCTCTTAATAGGGTTACTATGGCATAATTCTACACATCGGCTTGACTGAGACGGCCATGGCATATGGTTTACATCGTTTTCATGCTGATCAATCCATTCACTGACCACTCGTGCCCTGTGGATGGGGGCATTGACATCCTATAGGGGCATAGCCATGGTAGCCAAAATAATGGGCATGCCCAGCATTTTTATACATGACCCTAAGCATGATAGGATGTTAATTGCTGAATTAACTCAGGAAATACACCTGTGTGGAAGCACCTGCTTTCAATATACTTTGTATCCCTCATTTACTCAAGTGTTTCCTTTATTTCGGCAGTTACCTGTCCCTATCCTATATGAATTTAATGTGATACTCAAATGTCTCTATTACCAAAGAATGCAAAACCTAACTGACCCATGAGTAGAGCCCAAATCATATTGATTTGGGACACAAGCTGTTCAACCAATCCTTATCAGGCTTGAATAGAGAAATGCTGAGCATGTGTAGAGCAGTTTGGATATTTCAGATCTGTTGTTGTAGAATTTGTGTAGAGTTACGCCATAGTTAGGCTATTAAGAGCCTGGAATCCAAACATGTTTTGTGGTATATATTTGGATATAATCCATGCTAAATTCTAGAATCTAGGCTAGAATCCAAACATATTTAGTTTGATTCCAGGCTAGAATCCAAACAGATTCAGTTTGATTCCAGGCTAGAATCCAAACAGATTCAGTTTGATTGACTCAACCACAGGACTGGAGGGTCAGTGGTGTAGAACTGATACCAGACCCCAAAGTGCCTCTGGTCCCCAAATTGCGTCCATATGACTGGAGCTGGGACCACAACCAGGAATCCAGGAATTCAATCAGGACTTATTGAACACATGGTTTTATCTATTACAGTAGCTACTTATAACATCAGAAAATATTACCATAATTGCAAATATGCCCAATAACCTTTGGTCTTTCTTTTCCTCCACATTTGCAATCTGTATTCAGTTGATAATGATAATATAATTCACTATACAATACCTATGAAATGTGACCTGCACCTTCTAGAATGTTTTAATATTTTTTCTTTCTCATGAAATACATTGCAGTTTGATGAGTCTGGGAAAATGCTTACTTTTTGCAAATTCTTTACTGGATGTACAGTGTACCTACTCACCCATTGTTTTCTCAATGTTAGATGATTTTCAATGTAACTTAACCAGTCGTTCACTACAGTACATAGTCAATGCAATCATTTTGTTTTACGTTTGTTCTCCAGGCACCATTTACTCCTGTTTTCTAACCGTTTATCAACGTCAATAAGCTCTTATATTGTAAATAACGTGGAAACGATTGAAATTGTATTTAAGAATCAGTGTATATCATGTACAGATAATAATAAACATAAAAACGATATTAAGGTAACAACAAAAAGTACTAGGTGAGATGATTAAAAGGGGTCATTGCTGCAAGGTTAGTTCAAGTCAGCCACATAGGCACGAGTGGGCCTGGGTGGGCTTGGGCCCAAACAGATTGAGCAGTGTTTATAGGCTCTCTACTTGTCAGTGTTCCAAACGGGACATTATTGGTCTTTTTACCTAAACATGCAAACACCATCAGATAGAATTCAAAGCAGTGCACTGGAATGACATTCAGATTAATTGGAATGACATTCACTTTCATGGGATGGGTGGCCAAAAATAACTAACTGACAGCCACACCCCCAATAAGCCACGAATATGACCGGATTGAGGCATATGTCACTGTCCTACTGTTTTCAGCAGATATCTTCTGTGTATTTACAGTGATGGATGAATAAATAAAGAATGTATTTTGTATTACAAACGACTTGTTACTTTATTATTATCAACAGTTGATACCAGAATGGTGACTATTCAGTTCTCTGAACACTGTTTAGTAGGCCCACAATAGGTTGGCCTACACTCTTAGAAAAAAAGGTGCTATCTAAATCCTAAAAGGGTTCTTCAGCTGCCCCCTTAGGAGAACCCTTTGAATAACCCTTTTTGGTTCCAGGTAGAACGCTTTTGGTTCCAGATAGGACCCTTTTGGGTTCAATGTAGAACCCTTTCCACAGAGGGTTCAACATGGAACCCAAAATGGTTCTACCTGGAACCAAAAAGGGTTCTCCTTTTTTTCTATGAGTGTATAGGCTACTGCAGTCTCCCAATCCTCCATCTTGTTCCTTATTTGATGTGCTCTAATACAAGCACACCTGATTCAAATGTCAAACTAATCACCAAGCCCTTCATTAGTGGTCCTCTGTAGCTCAGTTGGTAGATATGCAGTGAGTTAAATTCCCAGGACCACCAATACGTAAAATATATGCAAGCATGACTGTAAGTCGCTTTGGATAAAAGGGCCTGCTTATGTCATATATTACAATTAGTTTAACTTATCACCAGGCCCTTCATTAGTTGAACTGGCTCGGGGTAATCGAGGAGAGGTTTAGGAAACAGTTTACTCCAGTCATTTTAGTGGATTTTTATATCTTCAGAACTAGATGGACTAGGTAAGAGGACACTGTCTTCTGGCCACTGACAATTCTCCATTCGTATTTACGAGACAGTGGAAACCTTCGTATGCGTCTCTCATTGGACAAGGCACAAGCTGTGGTGGCCAAAGAAGACAATTTTCTTGAAATATTGTCTCAATTAAATTGTATGTTCCTTTTCAGCCTTTCCACAGTAATAGTCAACGATATATCTTAGTCAATTGTCTAATGCTGAATATAAAGCCATGCTGAGTTATTGTGTGTTTGGCACGCAAGTAGTAATGCTACGTTCATGTGTTTGTCGGTTTTAGGAAACTCTGAAATGTCCAACTGGGAAACTGGGTAAACAACTAGGAGTTATGGTGCATCTGGCATGTTATCAAGGGAGTGAATGCACAAATACTAACTTCCTCTCTCATTTGAAGACTATAAATATGACAAAACACCAACCAGTCATGTAAGCCTTCCATTTTCACTCATTTGCAACAACCGTGAAGCTGTGGCTTAAATGTGCCCATTGAGAGTGGCATGATTGGCATTGTCAACTGTCAAATATTAGGTTTGTCTTTGAAATGAACCAAAACAAACAAAGCAAGAAATCTTTTAGTAGGATCATTACTCTTACTTACCACTTCAGAAGGCCTGGAAGGCTGGAACCAACCAAATCATCCCACATTGCTTTACTCAAAGCCCCACCAAAGATCACTCTAAAAACCTTCAAGTTTGTCTAAATGTTTGTATATGACTTTATTGAGTCCTGTCTGCAGACAAATCATTGAGATTTATCGTCCACATTCAGATTTTTTTCCATCACAAGTCTGGGATTGCACCGTCGCTATAGTAGCTATACAGTAGCTTCCTAATTTGATTACTTATGTTCTGTAGCATTCCACGCTCGGAAATCTTACATTTTTCTGCATATGTATTTTTTTTCTTCCTCAGTTATTAAACTATTTTACAGACTAAAAGGATACTTTTCGGAAAGTGAACTTTTGTTGGAAATGTGTTTGCCAGATGTTGAATTACCTTGAAAAACCATCAATACGTTGCTGAAAATGTTTGAATGAGCTTGTTTTTCACTTTTTCTATGCCAAAGTGAAATCTGTTATTTTTCGATTCGGCAGATCAACACATTGTGTAATATGAGCAGGCATATTGCAATGGAAATGTCTATATTGATATTAAAATGGTTTATTACTACACACTATGGTCATTTTTTAAAGAAGGCCCTGTCGGCAATGGAGGTCTGGGTGTGTAGACTTAGTAGTACAGAAAATCATCAATTAGTTGGGTAATTTTAGTTGGCCTTTTCTCACTGTCTTTGGAGAGTCTGCAAATTTGGAGAATCTGCAAATGTTCATTCAAATTCTAATTGGGTTATGATGAATCAACGGTGCACCGTCATTTATTTTCGTTTG